CGCGGACTTCCGGAGATGAGATGCCACACGGGTAACAAAGAAAACATGAACAGGAGAATGATGTCACTGTTTAAAGGCGAGCTAAAAGGATATAACCAGCAGCGGAGGCCGGCCGGCCGGCCGTACCTCTCACGGATCCCGCGAAGAACCATAGAAGAGCGGCGGTCAGCAGGCGGTGCGCCCAGTCACGGCGCGCCCAGCGCGGCTTCAAGCCGTCCGCCCGAGCGTCATCAACAGGGAGTCGTGGTAACATTTTCGGACATCGATCTAAAAGAAGAGGAAGAAGAAGGGGGGCTAAGAAGGGACGCTGCTCGCACGCCTGATCCGTTATTTAGCTTCGAAAAAGTTAGTGTCAGACGCCATTTCGAGATTGTAATGACACTGCGTAACATATGGGAGTCGACACATACATACATGTATTAACGGCAACAAAGAAAACAAGCTTGATAGAGAATTTTGTAAAAAAATACGAGCGATGTACCTGGCAGCTGCTTATATGCGTAGCATGTCCCCCCCCCCCAGCATTTTCCGGTCCGTAATCATTTCGCGGAATCGGAAATAATGAACGGGCGGGTCCGGGCTGAACTTACAGGGCGGAAATCCCGAATGCTCCGCTTCTTTTTCTAAAATGTTTCAGTAAATGTATGACAATTTAAGTGTCGTGGTTGCAGCGTTTGGGAACAATATATCCAGCGATGGGACATAACTGGTACGCAAGTACGCATTCGCCTTTAAAAACGATACGTGCGACAATCGATTGCTTGTAAAAGCTCAAATACGCACTTATTTTCTGTGCATTTGCGCTGCTGACAAGAAAATACCTTGCATTTTAACCTGTATACCGCAAATGAAGTAGAGTTAGCATATAAAGATTAAAATGCATTCTATTTTGTTTTCATATCAGCGCAAATGGTCTTTCTGAGACCATTAATAAAGCCTTTAAACTCTTGTCCATTCGCTATGAGACTTCTTGCATTCCACTGTAAAATAATCAGTTTGTCCCATCACTTAATATTTCCACCTGACTTTCCTTCTACTTCAAGTTTTGAAGAACCCACCATGAATCAATGTTGATTGATCATCCCCGAGCATGAATTGATTCAATGTTGAATATTTTCAGTAATATCGATGTTGACTCGGCACATTATTTTCAATGTTGAAAAAGTCACTTTATATCAACATTGAATCAAGGTTTTGTCACCATCAATTTTTCAATATTGAACATCTGACCAAAAATCAATTCAGTTTCAACATTGATAATTTAACACTGACCATAATTCAAGGCATTTAACTATACTTCAACATTGAAACAATAACATGATGCTATCTGGGTAGTCCATGCACGAACAGAATCAATCAATACCTCAATCACCTCATATGTATGTCTGCTAGCTGGAGTTGGAGGTGCTCCAAACTGTGAGTAGTGGAGTTGAACAATCACAACCTCTCAGTACCTAATAGTGATAGGGTGACAGTGAATAATCCCTATTAATTGTATACTATGTGGGCGATGTAATCGTCCGTGTGTTCATCTTAATACATTCGGTCCCTCGGCCATGATTCACCAATATATCTTTTGTGCAAAAAGGTTTATGACATAACCTACGGGTATAGATTCATAAGCAGGTGTTCCATATACAGTATCTAACAGTATAACGACAATTAAGACTATTAGTCCTGGATGTATGATCACATCTAGGAAGTGTCGGGTCTTTGGAGACCATCCTTCAAATATGCTCCACCAGGCATTTTGCCAACTTCAAATAGCATATCGCGAGGGGGTGAATAATCCCATTGACACACGCTTCCCTTCATATCAAAACATGGGTTAGTACAGTGGTCCCCAGACTGGGGGGCGCAGAGGTATTGCAGTGGGGCGCACCAATGGGATAGCCTACGCTCCACTCGAGCATGGACAAGTTTGTGTACCCAGCCAAGCTTCCAGCAGAGGCTGACTCTTCATCTGCTGCAAGTTCAAGCCCCAAAGCAAAGAAGAGAAAATATGAGTCATATCTGGTCCTAGGTTTCACATCGACAATGGTGGGTAATGAGGAGAGACCACAGTGTGTTGTGTGTCTGAAAATACTCGCTGCTGACAGTTTGAAGCCGAACAAATTAAGACATTATTTGAAGACAACACACCCTAAGCATAAAGATAAGCTTTCCAATAAGTTTAAAAATGACAAATTCCTCCTGAAAGTGGCATACCTGAGTGACATGTTTCAGAAACTCAATGTACTAAATCCGCAGATGCAAGGCACCAACACACACCTTCCACATCTGGCAGATAAGATCACATCATTCACAAGAAAACTGGAGATGTGGGAGCAGCGAGTTTCTGAGGGAAATATAGACTCATTTGGGAACCTGAAAACATTCATTGAGCTCAACAAGCTTCAGAACACAATTATCCCATGCATTAAAGCTCACCTCTCCACCCTACAAAAATATTTCCAGAAGTATTTCCCAACGCAGGATCCTAAAAAATTTGACTGGATCCGAGACCCCTTCAGTGCTACACCACATGAGGATTTCAGCACTGCAGAGGAGGAACAGTTCATTGATGTCACCTCAGATTCATCAATGAGGCTGCAGTTTGAGTCTAAAACACTGGCTGCATTTTGGATTGGAGTGGAGAAGGATTAGCCAGTGCTAGGAGGGAAAGCTGTGGGCACACTCCTTCCTTTTGCTACATCCTACCTATGTGAGGTCGGTCTTTTCTTCTGTGGCCTCTATTAAGACAAAATACAGATCAAAGCTGGACCTTGAAAAGGAACTAAGAGTGGCTGTTTCCCAGCTGCAACCCCAAACTGAGAAGATTTGCAGCACAAAGCAAACCCACACCAGCCACTGAAAGGTGTGAGACTTCAGATGATCCCCTTTTAAGTTTTGTTCTGACTGGGAACTGGTTAATTTTCCCAGATATTTTTGTGGAGACAGGTCTTTATTCT